CCTATTCAATTAGGTACCTACATAAAAATGTATAACATGTTGGGTAAAAAGTTTTGTTTTTACGTGCTAGGGGCATAATAATATAAATAAACGGAAAACCTCAAATACAACCAAAAGAAAAATACAACCTTTTATAAACACAATTTGACACTATTCAGTAAATATTCATGTATAATAAAATACATGAAGATTACTGTTATATACACATACACATTTCTCAAAAAATCGAAATAATAACGAATTTAGTAATCAATTGCGGATAAAACGAGAGCGAAAACTCACTAAGAACAACAACACGTAATGGCGACGCAATGGCGAATACAAGGCACTTTGTGTATGAGATCTTGACAGTAGTGACACACTTTCGTCGTGTTAATGAGAGAAACCGAAAATAACCCTGAGCACAGGGCTGCCACTATCACAAGCTACATTTCTTTCTCTTCAAAATGACATATTATATGACTAGTAAAAATAACTTAAACACTGTATGTAATTTGTATTTTCCATACAGTCACCTGACAACGGTTGGCCATTTGTTATAAATTTCAAAAACAGTTGTTTTTATAAAATCGTACCGGTTGTCCAATCAATATTTCGTTCTAAATATCACTACCACAATGAAGATAAAATCAATGGCTATCCAGTGGTACCACCCGCAACATTTCAAGACGAAAATTACCCGAGCAGGGTGATGCCAAACAAGACGTGTTTTGACAGTTCCCAAGGGTCGGCTGCTAAAGTCGTGCCGCGCAAAAAATTCATTTGATTTCTAATCGTCGTGACATTGTTATATACCTGCTACAGGGTTTGTTTATGTAATAAAACGAAAGTTCAGAATGTGTTCTTTCGAATGGTATATATATTATTCTCATCTGAGTTGATTATAAGTGTTTTTTTTTTACCGTTAAAATAATTTCGGCCCATACCGTCACCAGACAGCGGCTGGCCATTCTAAGCATCAACGTCAAACCGTCACCAGACGACGGTTGGCCACTGCTAGGGTTAATTTGATATATCGTTTGGTTTGGATAGATATTGAATAACTTAATCAATAGGCGGGTACAGTTTCTTAACTGGGCTATGCTAATATCGATTGAAACTATCGATTCGATTTGTAAACCTTCATGCGATTTTTTCACCATCAGCAAGTTTGGTTGGTTAGGTTAGGTTATGATAGTTTAATTTGATAATAAATATATTTAAAAATATTGATTATTAACCCTAGAGCTGGCACTAGTGTAAGGCTGTACTGGCATAGGGATAGGTATTATTGATTATGTAATATCATTTTCAAACCATCACAAAAATTAGAAATAGCAACATAATTATGGATTATTATAGGCTATATCATTTTGTTCAGAATAAGACAAAGAACAATAGGCTAATATAGGTGGTTTACATGGTTACCACAAACAAAATTTTTTTTAGTTTTTCCAAATTGTAGGCATTATTAATTTTTTTTTATAAAATGTTTTTATATTCCGTCGTGTAGCTAAGTGCAGGTAAGACTTATCATCATAAGGTAGGTAAATTGTAAAGTTGTGGTAAATTTTGTGCTGATTCCAATAATATACAGGGTGAGTTTCTACTAAGTGCGTTAATTTTTACCAGTTATTCTACTCACTAAAAGGAACAAAAAATGACAAACAAAAATTTTCCATCCCCATCCGTTATGCTGTAATGGCCGATTATGTGAATTTTTAAAATTACCTGTAGTAGCTTCACTAAAACGAGCATAGAAATTAAGCCAATACACGTACAACATAATAACTTATACCAATGAAAAGAGCGTTAAATTTCCTACAAAACCGCAACACCTTTAACATACAACCATATTTTCACCGTTGTGTGTCTCACATAACATAAAAAAAGAAGTTTCAAAATTAATTCTTTACAACTTCAAAGTGGTTTTATAACTATACATACTAATGTGATGTTTTGTCAAATTACGTAAAAAACTTTCCCATTTCATGTCCTTTAAAATGATATAACCCATAAGGTTTTTGCTGTAGGCTATTAAAAGTTCGAAAAATTAGGGCAAAACCGCGTCAAGGTCAGAGTTTTCGGAATCAAAACATTGAACCAAATGTAATACTGTATCTGTTAATTTCTTTGCTATCTTATAATCAGCTGACATCTGATCAGCTGGGTGTTAAACGTTGTTTACAAAACCAGCTGATTTCAATTGTTGGCTTGTAAACATTTAAATTATTAACTATTTCATTATTTTATAAATCTATGACAAAAATTCAAAATAAATTTGATAAAAATCTAGGTTAATACATTTGTACAAATAAACAAAATGAATCCTGTAGAGTCTGGTTTCTGGATTTTTAACCAAAGTAAGTTTTCAAAATGTCCACCATTTTTGCTCTAATACATGTGGTCATAAAATGGTCTTTTCCGAAAGTTTCTCACTGTTGCCTTTAATTTTAGCTCCTCTTGAAGAAGGTTGGAAGCTTAAGTCCGATTTCTTAGCTCATCCGCTGTTTGAACTAGTGTTCGATAATTTTCCTGTTTGAGGTAACCTCAAGCGTAGTAGTCCAGTGGAGTCTGGTGACTGTGGTGGCCAAGCAATTGATCCACCTCTTCCAATCCACATTGGGAAAGTATTTCCAATGTAAATTCGCACACCATTATTGAAGTGGGGAGGTGCACCATATGCTTGCTAAACTATTCGCTTACGTACATCCAGCGGGACGTCTTCAATGAGCCTTGGTAGAGTATCAGTAAGAACGTTGAGATACTGACAGCAGTTTAATGAATGTGGAAGATCAATGAAAGGGCCAACTAACTGGTTTTAGAGTTATCTATTCAACTTAAATCTTGTTTGGTTTCGACACTGGTGTATCACATGTGGGTTTTCTGTAGCATAGTGATGCCCATTATGGATGTTGTAAATACAATCCCGAGTAAACTTGGACTCGTCTGTCCACAAAATCGACTTGAGGAAGTCACGATGATCAAGTCAACTAACAGAGCGACATAACTGAAGTCTCTGTAGACAATCTCTTGGTTCAAAAATCTGTACTCGTGTAATGGTAGGGATGCAATTTTTCCTTTCTCAATACCTAAGTCACGAGAAACTGTCCTTGTTCTTGTCCGTGGATCGTCCTCAAACCACCCCAACACATCTGACACAGCTTCCTAAACACATACACAATACACATCTTGTATCATGTTCCCAACAGAATGATGTTTAGTGCCCATGGATACTTGTATGGACACTGATGAATATTCGTTCATTTGAAAGTCGCCTATTAGGAAACTGACTACTGTATTCACGTCAGATTAAAGCCGCATTTGAGAACAGAACCCGGAAAATAAAGTCATATCAAGACACTTTTTTGGTGAACACCGACATAGCTCTAAACAATTATAATATTTTCCAAGTACGTTCATGAAATAGTTAATAATTTTAATGTTTACAAGCCAACAATTTAAATAAGCTGGTTTTGTAAACAAAGTTTAACACCCAGCTGATCAGATGTCAGCTGATTATAAGATAGCAAAGAAATTAACAGATACTGTATTACATTTGGTTCAATGTTTTGATTCCGAAAACTCTGACCTTGACGCGGTTTTGACCTAATTGTTCTAACTTTTAATACAGCAATAACCTTATGGGCTAGGTACATCATTTTAAAGGGCATGAGATGGGAAAGTTTTTTACATAATTTGACAAAACATCACATTAGTATGTATAGTTATAAAACTACTTTGAAGTTGTACTTAAAGAAATAATTTTGAAACTTATTTTTTTATGTTATGTGAGACATACAACGGTGAAAATATGGTTGTATGTTAAAGGTGTTGCAATGGTTTTGTAGGAAATTTAATGCTCTTTTCATTGGTATAAGTTATTAATGCTGTATTGGCTTAGTTTCTATGCTCGTTTTAGTGAAGCTACTACAGGTAATTTTAAAAATTCACATAATCGGCCATTACAGCATAACGGGTGGGGATGGAAAATTTTTTTTGTCATTTTTTGTTCCTTTTAGTAAGTAGAATAAAACTGGTAAAAATTAACGCACTTAGTAGAAACTCACCCTGTATAGTTTATATAAGTTAGCTTATTTTGTGTATTTTGTTATTGTTACCCATTATTATGTTGATCGTACCCCTGCGCTGGTACCAAATAATCATCCAACCCAGGTCATGTACAAAACTGTACACCTTATATTTAATATCTAATTTCAGGGTACTCTGGTTTGTATTATTTAACTTAACTTATTTATTAAAACAGTAGCCCTAAAAAGTGAACAAAACTAAAATAAAAAAAAATAATAAAAATAAAAAAAAATATTAGGCCTATATATAGGCCTACCGTAACACCTGCATTGGCGCCGTATATCCGGCGTTGCCATTTCCGTTCGCGCCGTATATCCGGCGTTTGCCGGCGCTAGGGTTACGGTAATCAATATTTTCAATTCGATAGTTTCAATCGATATTAGCATGCCCAGTTAAGGAACTGTACCCCAATAGGCTATATCGATCAATATTTTCATTCGGTTGTTTGTGCCAACAGATATGGACGTATCCCAAAAACTGATTGTATTTTTGGATTCAGCGTGAAAAAAACTGTAAGTACTTAGACATCTAAAAATTACATCATATCCCAGTGTAGACATAGGCCTATTTAATTATTATCGTTATTTCAATTAAAATTAAACTGTCATAACCTAACCTAGCCTATGTCATAACCAAACTTGCTGATAGTGAAAAAATTGAATCAATGTTTACTAATCGAATTGATGGTTTCAATCGGTATTAGCATAGGCCTAGCCCAGTTTAAGAAACTAGGCCTATAAGTTACCCCACTAAGGCCTTGTTAAGTTACCCAACATGTCAAATATTAGTCTATGTAGGGCCTTGGGTGATAATTGTCATCAACTGTAGCAGTTATTGTGGTGAACTATAGTCTATTAGCCTAAAGGCCATCAAATCAGGTCATAACTTAACCATAGCCTAATTCCAAGAGACTGACATTCTATACTTACCAAAGTATACAGGTTTTCCACACTTATGACACTTCCACATTGTTTTAATACCGTTATTATTTTTTTCATAAGGTAATGTTGGGTAGGATGTAATCAAGACATTTCCTATAGGCCTAGGCCTACCCTACCCTAGGCTAGACAACAAGTAATTTGAAGTTAAGTTAGTTATGAAAAATATAGGAAGGCAGCATAGATTTGATTTAACAGCTTTCCTTTTAATATCTTAACCACTCATTAAAAAATTATTTCTGCAGAATAAAAGAATGTAAAAGAAGAAAAAAATTACGAAAGCACCAATACCAAAAACTAAGCAATAATAATTATTACGCTGTATTGTCTCTCCTTTCCTATTATCTCTATGGTTGTTTTGTTGTTGTTGTAAGTTAAGTTGTATAAATGAGAAATAAAATGTCATGTTTCTTGTTCTGCTTCAGCTTCACCTGATGTAACAAGCTTAATTTAGTCCCATGAAGCTGCACAGCTTTAAATATGAACCTTATTGGGCAGAAGAGGATGATCAAGTTTTAAGAAAAAACTAGTGAACCTGTGCAGCTCAATGCCCCGCAAAATAACATATGAATTTAAAAAACAAATTCATCGTGTTATATATATTGACTTGACGTCGAAAATTAAATACAGTAATAATAAAGGGGGACAGCTCACTTACTCTACAGATCATAGACTATACGAGCTTTTTAAATAATATTGAAGGTTCACTTGCACTACAGGCTCGTATACTATACGAGCCTATCGAAAATAAAAAGTAAATGAAGAGGGTTCACTTACTCTACAAATCATTGTGCCTATGAGCCTCGTGTATTATATTTAAAAATACAGTAGGAAGGTTCGCTTACTCTACAGATCATAGTGACTATGAGCCAAGCTTACGAATTATTTGATAATTCAGGAATCGGCTCGTATAGTATACGAGCCAAAATAATGAATAATATAAATTATAGGAATAGGTTCGTATACTATACGAGCCTGCAGAAAAATATTAGATGGCTCACTTACACTACAGATCATTGGCACAATGATCCGTAGAGTAAGTGAACCCTCTTCAAAATATTAGATGGCTCACTTACTCTACGGCTCATTTAGCTACTCGTTGCGCGGTTTGCGTTCGTGAAACTCTAGGCGCTATGCCCGGCTTCGACTGCTGCGACTGCCTACATAAGTGTATTGCATCACCTCAATTATTTATTAAAACGAAATAAATATGTATGCACAAGTAAATTTATTACATTTTTGGACTGAATACTTTAAAAATGGAGGGAGCATGACTTTTATGTTTAATTAAATTAAACGTTATAGAATAAAACATATTTTGACTAATATCAGGTTATATAATACACACTAGTATGATCCAGATACAGAGCTACAGACAAAACCTGTGGTCCGATTTAGATTAAATTTTGTATCTGGATTTATCCACGAGTCACTATTTTTTTAAGCACGGGTTGAGAAATAATGGCAAAAATTTATAGAAACAGTTCACCAGTTTAGAATATTTCTCAGTTACTGTGAGTTGCAAAAAAAGTGTATACAGAAGCATTTGTGTACACAGAAAATATATAGGACTAGATGTATACAGAAGATATATTAAAATACAATACGCACACAACTATCAACGTTTACATATGTAAAATTAATGAATTTGTTGTATTGAGTATTTTTAACATTATGACGAAGCCTTAACAAAACATACTTTTTTAAGGAGTTCTAGGGTGTTAAACTATATTGTATTTATCTTTTGTGGAAGATTCTATCCACGATTTATGATTGCTAACAATTTAATACAAAGATTTAAGTCTCTGTACGTGAAGACTAAAAACACGAAACAAACTTTAAAGTGATAGAAAAGATTTGATCAGGAGCTGGCGTTTGATACCTTTCGGGAATAAATATAGCCTCTACTTCAAAGGTATACATGGTGAGGTAGCCTCTGGAAGACCATCTTCAGGTTAACAAAAACGTCAATAGGTCGGGGACAGCTCACTTACTCTACAGATCATAGACTATACGAGCTTTGTAAATAATATTGAAGGTTCACTTGCACTACAGGCTCGTATACTATACGAGCCTATCGAAAATAAAAAATAAATGAAGAGGGTTCACTTACTCTACAAATCATTGTGTCTATGAGCCTCGTGTATTATATTTAAAAATACAGTAGGAAGGTTCGCTTACTCTACAGATCATAGTGACTATGAGCCAAGCTTACGAATTATTTGATAATTCAGGAATCGGCTCGTATAGTATACGAGCCAAAATAATGAATAATATAAATTATAGGAATAGGCTCGTATACTATACGAGCCTGCAGAAAAATATTAGATGGCTCACTTACTCTACAGTTCATTGGCACTATGATCCGTAGAGTAAGTGAACCCTCTTCAAAATATTAGATGGCTCACTTACTCTACGGCTCATTTAGCTACTCGTTGCGCGGTTTGCGTTCGTGAAACTTTAGGCGCTATGCCCGGATTCGACTGCTGCGACTGCCTACATAAGTGCATTGCATCACCTCAATTATTTATTAAAACTAAATAAATATGTATGCACAAGTAAATTGATTACATTTTTGGACTGAATACTTTAAAAATGGAGGGAGCATGACTTTTATGTTTAATTAAATTAAATGTTATAGAATAAAACATATTTTGACTAATATCAGGTTATATAATACACACTTGTATGATCCAGATACAGAGCTACAGACAAAACCTGTGGTCCGATTTAGATTAAATTTTGTATCTGGATTTATCCACGAGTCACTAATTTTTTAAGCACGGGTTGAGAAATAATGGCAAAAATTTATAAAAACAGTTCACCAGTTTAGAATATTTCTCAGTTACTGTGAGTTGCAAAAAAAGTGTATACAGAAGCATTTGTGTACACAGAAAATATAGAGGACTAGATGTATACAGAAGATATATTAAAATACAATACGCACACAACTATCAACGTTTACATATGTAAAATTAATGAATTTGTTGTATTGAGTATTTTTAACATTATGACGAAGCCTTAACAAAACATACTTTTTTAAGGAGTTCTAGGGTGTTAAACTATATTGTATTTATCTTTTGTGGAAGATTCTGTCCACGATTTATGATTGCTAACAATTTAATACAAAGATTTAAGTCTCTGTACGTGAAGACTAAAAACACGAAACAAACTTTAAAGCGATAGAAAAGATTTGATCAGGAGCTGGCGTGTGATACCTTTTGGGAATAAATATAGCCTCTACTTCAAAGGTATACATGGTGAGGTAGCCTCTGGAAGACCATCTTCAGGTTAACAAAAACGTCAATAGGTCATCTAACCAATTTGGTTAGATGACCTATTGACGTTTTCTGAAGATGGACTTATTTTCAAGTCCGAAACTATAGTGTGTAATACTGAAGAAGGATCACTTGACGAAGCCAGGTAACTTAAACCATTTAGCTTAAAGTTATACAAGTTGGTTTCACACCAACATTTCATGCACATATTAAATCTATATAATTAATACGCGAACACGAAGTTTGTCGGTTGAATCCTCCACCATTTCTTAACCGATTTTATCCACTGACGTCTCATTGGAAAGAGCGTGTTGCGTAGATTTGCAAACTGGCCTACAATTTTTGAAAAAGTCCCTTGGCCTCTGCCACAGTGGCTTTTTAAGTTCCCATGTTATCCTTACGAAGAACAATATTGTTTACATCAGCTGTTTAATTTAATTGTGTTCTTTGTTTTTCAATTCAACGAAACGCATTGGTTACATTAACTGATTTTGTGGAAATTAAATATCTATCTATATATGTAATTCTGTAAGACCTAATTTTTACCAGAAAATTGTGTACGTCTGGTAAGTCGCAGAAAAGTGGGAGGGGTCTTAAATTAAAGGTATTGACCCCAGGGACTCGGGAAAAATAGCAGAATTCCCATAAAGCTACCAGAAAACGAGATATAACGTAAAATATCCACCATAAGAAATGCATGGGGACTGAAAAACGTCTGCATTCTATCAGCTGTTACTTATTTATTTGCAATTTTACATTTATTCCGAAAGACAATGTTGGTAAATAATGTTTCAAAAAGGATTGTGTTTAATTTTTTTGTTTTCCGTTTTTATAATGAGTGAAGTAACTAGACAGGGTAGGGGAAGACCTGCAAGACGTGGAAGAGTGTCCAGGAATTCAACAGACTTAATAAATGCAAAAGAGAACGTCATGTAGGGCCTAATTGTGAAAGAAATCCAGAAGCTGTTTTACAACCTGTCTTTAGAAAAACGCTGGAAAATTAGTTGATTGTTGTTTCTCACAATATAGGTCCTCTTAAAGCACTTGCATGCATTGTGGCGCATTTCATTTTGCAGAGGAGGCCACAAATGGACATTTCAACGCATGTTGCCACAATGGACATGCCACAACCACAAGCAAATGACGAACTAAAAGAACTGTTTTTACAGGATTCGAACTTCATAAAAAACATAAGACAATACAACAGTGCAATGGCTTTTGCGTCGCTTTCCGCTACACAAAAAGAGATTCCGGGAAATGGGCCTTACTGTCTTAAAATTCAGGGACAAATTCATAGATATATATTTTACTTACTACCGCGAAATGGGGAATTGCCTTCATAATAATTAATAATAATTTTAACCTTTACGTTTGGTTCTCAAAATGGAAACTATAACAGAATTCCTAAGATCATCAATTTTAAACTAGAAAAGATGTGCAATGTTTAACTGTATGATTTCAGCTCTGATTCGTGGTTCTCCGGGCTCAGGCCAAACCGTGTGCACGTTTCCATTTGTTAATATGTTGTGTTATTGATTTAATCATTATTTTACAAACACTGTTAATTTTAAGTAACATAACATTGATAATTTTAAAAACATATTTCGATTATTTGTCTTTTTATATATAGTTTTTTATTGTAGTCTAAATTAGGGGCTATGGCCCCTACAGGCCACTAGTCTATCTATCTATACTAGTGTACATGTTGCTCTAAATCGAGCAATTGCAAAGAAGTACAGGAGTTATTTATAAACAAATTATTTGTTTAACAACTAATAACAGTCATAATTTCCAATGATTTTAAAAGAGTCAACTAAAAGATTATTAACCAATGGAAATACTCACAATTCACAGTCCTATTCCAGTTTAAAGGGTGAATTTTGAACAATCAAACTTCCAATGGACGGGAAAAGGTAAGCTTACAATTTAAGTCAACTTAAAAAGGCTGGAAGCTTTTATAAAGTACCGTACCTAAGTTATTTAGCCAATTTGTAGACAATAAGGTGTAGGCTACTTTAAACTCTACAGGACAGAGTTAGGCAAAAACTGGCAGAACTCTGAAATGGTGTTATTTATCATAGGC